AGGTGTAAGGTGAGTGTACTTGCCGAGTCCAACAATGTCGAAGGAATTGAATCGGAGATCCCAGAGGTGTGAGGTGAGTGTACTTGCCGAGTCCAACAATCTCGAAGGAATCGAACTGGAGATCCCAGAGGTGTGAGGTGAGTGTACTACCGCTACATCTTCCTTGGTTCCTTTTTGAGTGTACTTGGAAAAGAAAACTGGACACTTATCCCTAGCACCGACCCTACCCTTATGTAAACTGGGTTTTACTCATTATAGCACACACACTCTAAACCTGCTAATACTTTACCTAATACATACAACTGGATATAACATACCTTGCGTCAGCAAAGGAACCACTCTCTCCTGTCAGGGGCTCGTCCAGTAACGCCTCTAACAGCCAATGAATTCGACGGGGATCTCGACTTTCCTGGTGAAGATAGATTGTTATTTCATTAAAAATATCTACAAGATATAAAATGAAGGGATATAAAACGCGCGCGCATGTCTCTGTACTGTGATATTAACACACTGAGGAGACGTAGGCAAGTTTTTCCCTTATTATTCGAGTACTGTAAAGCTCAAAAGAGTGTTTGTATTACAATACAAAGACATAAGCAGCCGTTTTATACGAGCGTGACGTGCTTCACCTAACACTTCTCTGGTGTTCTGTCAACCCCTGTGCTGTGTGCTTTATAACTGCAGTGCACACAGCACGCGCGCGCGTTTTCTATTTCTTCAGTAATTTCTTCAGTATATACTCACCACAGCCGTTGCCATGCATGTTCCCCAGTCCTCTAGCGACTCCACGGTTATTGACGGGATTGCTTTTCTTATCAATGGAATCAAGAATTCCCACATTGCTTTGGTCTGGGACGAGATGACGAAAAAAATGTCAACAAAATAGAAAGCAATGACATACCAAACGGGCGGGACAAAAGAACATGTTAAATAGTAAAATTGAAAATTGAAATGAAAAATAAAATAATAAAACAGTAACACATATAATTCTGGGGAAATAAATTCAAAAGCTGAGAATGTGCGTTTATTTAAAAACGACTCGTTTTAAATATACCGATCACCTTCTCAAAAGTCCAGTGTTTTGAACCTCTGACCAAAGCAGCGATGATCTCTACCGCACATCTCTGGGAGCTTTCCTGTTTATTTGAACAACAACAATAGATGAGCTTTTGAAGCAGGTGTTGCAAGATGAATTAGAGCTAGATAGTGCAATGTTCAAGGCATGATAAAGGTAGCAATCCTTTTGAATATGAGATACTTATTTCGGGGAATCTACCTCTATTTTCTTGTAGCAACGCGACTACCTATAATAGATTATTTTATCTTGTACGTAATGTTTTTCAATTTCAGACCACATGTCATTCTCTTGAGAATAAAGTTCTTTGTTCGCGCTGTATCTATATTGATTTGTTTTTTCATGCGCAACCGTTAAAGAAAGAAAAGATACTGAAGGGAATGATACGTAGTCTGAAATGGGGAAACATTACGCTCAAGCTGAAGAGGTCTATTGCAGATGTTTTGATTTGCAGGTCTTCCCAATCAGTTGCACATAAATTGTTGAATGACAGAAGCCAGAAATCAAGACGACCGAGTTACTCTTGGTCGCACAAATGTGGATATTAGAAAATATAATCGGTCAGCAAAGTGGCTCTAATTATCTTATCTCTTGTTTATCATGAGCATTCGACAAGGCAACCTCTGAACCATTATCTCGCACTAAACTAAAGTGAAAGCATCAGAAAACAATAATAAATGTTGCAGTCACATTACCTGGGAATCCACAGTTAGACGTTCGAGGTGAGGTTTGATTAAATGAAGGAATGAGTCATCAAAGTTACGGAACAAGCCCTAAAAATGAATGACGATATCAGAAAAAATGTTAGGAATAAACTATTCGTATAGTTGAATGATTTGTGGAAGGAAAAGGACACTGTGGATAGATCCTTTGCATTGATTTCCAAGAGGAATTGTTTTGGGGAATAAAACAATAGCCCGTCTTTTCTTGTGCAAAAAAAATCCATTTTGTCCCCCAGAACAATTCCTCTTGGGACTCGGTGCAAGGGGTCTATATCTGAACACCTTGAATACTGCGACTTTCTCTTGACCCAAGAAGGGAAAGGGTGGTGTTATTTGAAATATTGTGATGCAGAAAAGAAATGGAGTGGTTTTCGTATGAGTGGGAGAAACGTACGGTACTGGATTACATCATGTACAAGGTACGACATGCCATAACATTGAAATGGCGTCCCATTTTCTTCCAGTAATTCGTTCAATCACAACGTACAGATAAGGCTACGGTAAGATAGGGTACGACTTCAGTACGGCTATGAATTTGTGGTATCGTTTGCCACTCATACGAAAACTCTGTGTAAGAATGTGGCAAGTGTAAGAATAAATCGAAGCAGTCTTAGTACACGACTTAATCCTGATTCAGAAACAAAGCTTTTCAGTTCAATTTGACGTTAACAAGAAGAAAAACTAATGGCGAAAGAAGGGGCATTGTAAGTGGGATCTGGCATTAGTTGGGCTGCGAGGTCTGCTTACCTTGAACAACAGAAAACTATTGACACTGAACTTGTCTTTCCCTTTGCGATCCTCAAGAGACATGAATCCAATGAGTTTGTCTACGAATTCTTCTTGTATGAATCTACTGTAGATCTCCCTTTCACCCTGAGCATTGACAAATAACACATTTTATACTGGAATAAGATAGAAACTCACGTGCATGCATATTAGTACGAGGCAGAGACTTGATGGTGCACAGTGATGACTATGATAGATGATGTTGGTGATGATTGTGATGACTGATGCGTAACGAAGAAGAGAAGATGATGGTGATGGTGATGGTGATAGTGATGACGATGACCATGGTGGGTATGATGATGAGGAATGAGAAGGAGAAAGAGGAGGTGACGAGTAAGGGAAGATGATGATGGTGATAGTGTAGAGGACGATGGTGATGAGGAGGATGAAAAAGGAGAAGCAGGGTGTTGAGGAGGGTGACGAGGAAGAGGAGTTCGTGATGATGATGACAATGATGGTGGGGATACTGATAAATATTAGAAAGAGGACGAGGTGGGTGACAAGGAAGCTGAGATAATAATGGTTATGACGATGATGGTGGGGCTAATGATGAGATTGATGATAAGAGTGGTGATGATGAGGGTGAAAAGGTTGTCGAAGGTCAGTCAACACCAAAAACAGTCTTTCTCAAGACTACACTCACCTGGACGATCAGATTTCACAACAAAGCTGACAAGGAGGGTGATGAGGAAGAGGAGATAATGATGGCAATGGTGATGATGGTGGGGATAATGATGAAAATGAAGAGAAGGAGAAGGAGGAGGGTGACGATGAGGGTGACAATGAGGGTGATGAGGAAGAGGAAATGATGATGGTGAAGAGGACGATGATGATGGTAAAAAGCAATACCTTTCGAGAACCCTTTTCACACCTATACCCCACTTTTTATTTTACTGTGATTATTATCCTATCCCGTTAATTTCCGGTAGTGTTTGTTTTATAACACACACATTTAGGAAATGGTCAAAACTCAATCACTACCTCTGATAGTTCTTCACTCTTCCTACCCAAAGGAGGTTGCTGTTCAGTGGGTGCATATGCCATGAGTTCCCTAAGACAATAAGTAAGACAATAAATAGGGCATCAGGGCAAATATACTAAATATTTGTCTACCTGATTGGTCTATACGACACACCATTTACTAGGATAAGGTAAGATGATTCACTTACTTTGGCCATGTGTAGTATCCCCAATGTGTTTTGTCGATAAAAGTACAGCTGTTCCATGATTCTTGTGTCTTCGGCAGGTCGTTGGATAAAAACTGTAACCTGGGGTATCAAGACGTAAGAATAAATACCAACATATTTTGACCAATATATTTTCTCGTGAAGCGCATTTTATGTTTTTTTTAATAGAAAGCATGGATGCGCAGAGGGTGTGAAAAGGGATAATGACTCAATCATGTCGTCATTTTTTCAAAGTGATACAAAACTGGATGGACGGGCAGATGGATAAACGAACAGATAGATGGATGAACAGATAGATGGACGAACAGAAAGATGGACGAGCGAACTGATAATAAAAAGGATGAAAAGATGGACGAATGGAGGGATAGATGGATAACTGTTAGACTTCTAGACCTAGAAAAACGTAGCGGATCCTCACCATCGGTTATCCGGTCGATCTCCTGGTTGATTGATACTTGATTTGGGTTCAGGTAATCCCGCTAAGAACGAAACAAGCAAACCACATCAAATCATTAATGTTGCTAGATGAAACAACTCTATTCGCATGTGATGCCAAAAATGACGGTAGAATGGTTAGGAAGGACAATGAGAGATTAAGGCTCTGACACCATTCTCACTTCCCTGCTAGCAGAGCCTATTTTCCTTTTGTTTTGGTGGAGTGAGAAAAATAGACTCTGCCGATGTAAGATGTTATACTTGTCGCGCCTGCGTGGCGTAACTTAGCAACGCTGTCATGATTTTGACAGCCGCTCTCGTCAAGCAACGTTTGGCGCCACGGTGTGTTACATTTGCTCATGCGCACTACATGTACCCGGTTAAAAACTGCTTTCGTTCGCCACGATCGTGGACGGCGGTGTATCAAAGGAAACGCTCTACATCGGCAGAGTCTCCCTCCTCCCCGCCTAAAAGAAGTTAGAGAAAGAGGAGAGACTCTGCTAGCAGGGAACATTCTCACTAGATTTCCAACCCTTTTAAAAACTGAATAAAACCCTTCAGGTGATATCTCTATACATACCAACAGCATATGGATTGACTTGTACTTTGACATGAGGTCTCTTCTGCTGTTTGAGTACAGCGCCCACAGCAGAGATCGCAATCTGTGGAAGACATCAACGTTTCATTGACAATGAAATATGTTAATATAGCTATTCTAACCTGACACGCAAAGTAGATGATATACACCATGGATATTTAATCAATCAATAGACCATCTCACGGATCCCGTTACTCAACCTCAGCCTCGTCAGCGTGTAATACATTCTTCATCTACATCTACATTTTATTGTCAGCAGGAACTATACATTAAGTTATCACGCTAACTATGGGAAAATTAAAGTGCTACTATGATGAAAATCGCTCAAACTTGGATTCAGCTGAAAC